GGAAACACACATAGAGAAGTATAGACGCAAAGCAAGCAGGTCACCGTAGTAGCGCAGTCTGCAGATATGCAGTGCTAGCAGGACAATAATGAGTGAGGAAACAAATTTCTACAGTTGTTTTCAACCTGCCGTATCGTTACACGTATAATACTCAGATCGATTGATCTGCTGAGTGTTCACTAAAGATGTTTAGGCGAGCTGACACGCATCACGCCGTTATCAAGCACCATCGAATAGATGTGTAAAGTTAAAGGCTGGAAGCATATATAGACGGTGGCAACTGCTCAGATCGTCTGCGTGGAGGCTGGTGACCAGAAATAAGATGTTGTTGGTCGATAAGTAGTGAGGAGTTGCTATACGAGCTGGTCAAGGATGTCTGTATGCGGGAGGGGAGCCACTATGGATTTGGCAGCAGAACGAGTCAGGGGAAATAAGGACATAAGATTTGCTCATCAAAAATCAGCTGGGATAGATAGAAAAAAACTGTAAAATTACATACCATAGTTGAGCTTCCTTGGAGCCATTTGTGTTCTCGAGAACTCTTATGTGGGTGGCATCTGAGATCTGAACGCCGGTCCGAGATGTTAGGTTTTGAACTCCGCCAGGATTGGACCGCGTCAACACGGTCATGTGACGGACACCAACCTCTCTAATACTTTTGATGATAAAACATTAATGTGGCCAGGCTCAGCACAGCTTGCGCATGCCAATTTCCTTACGGCTTTTATCCTCGCATTCCTGCAACACGACAGGAGGAAATGTCACTCATGGTCAAATTTCGCTACACTGGTAGTATTATACTGTTCGCCTCCGAATAGGAAACAGTGCCGTGATGTTTATGTGACAAGTCTCGCACCAACCTAGTGATCCGTCTTAATAGCATGATGCATGCCAACATCGAAAGATATGATAGCTTTCTCTCAAGCCTGCGTGCACCATCGTCCAGCACATGGACCGAAGCTCAGGAATCCGCGAGTATCTTCACAGATCTTAAGTTTGACGCAAGGCTCAGGTTTACTCTGCTAGGTTTTGCTCGAGCCCTACACATACATCACTGCCAACACGGGGAAAAAGACCACAGAAAAGCTTGTTCAAGCCTTCAACCTCTGGCTTAATGTTCCTAAGGACAAGCTTGCGGTCATTATCCGTGTTGTCGGTCTTTTCCATAATGCCGGTCTCTTGTACGTCTTTCCAAGAGTTATCAGACTAATTTCAACACCAACTAATCTTCATATCTACAGGGTAGACGACATTGAAGACGACTCTCAACTGAGACGTGGAATTACAGGCATGTCTGCTATTGGCGATACCCGTAAAGGGGTCATTGATCTCTTCCAGTCGCGCATAAAGTATATGGCATCCCCCGTACCATCAATGCCGCCAATTACGTCTACTTTCTAGCATATCAGGAGTTGTCGTCTCTGAGGCCCAAAGTGCAGCGTCGCGCTTGTGATTCTAGTGCAGGTTCAGACAGTGGGCTCAGGGACGACAGTTTCACCGCCGAAAACCCCGATTTCTCTAAACGCCTCATTTCCGATCGCGACCTGGACCTTGTAGTGAATGGTATGCCATCTGTCGCCATTGTTTCATAGACAGTCCTGACATAAAGATGAGGATAGCCGAGCTCATATCATCCCACCGTGGACAGGGATTAGGACATCCTCTGGCGTGATACCCTCCGCTGTCCCACAGAAGATGAGTATGTGCAGATGGTAAAAGACAGTAGGTCGTCGTCATTGTCTATAAGAAACCATTTTGAACATGGCTACTCAGAAACAGGCAGTCATCTGAGGGCTACTGCCAAACTCATGATGGCATGTGCTACGACGAACACGAACGTGTGAGTCTCAAATGGAGTCTTTTGATTTTTTGCGGATTGAATGACTCCCGTCCTAGTGACTATGTCCCTTTGTCCAATCCTCATTGGGATTTATTACCAAATACGCGATGATTACATGAATCTCCAGAGCGATGAGGTTGGTCTCCAATCTAATTTTTTGGAGACGTGACCTGAATATCCTCTCAGTACACAGGCACAAAGGGGTTTGCAGAAGATTTATCTGAAGGGAAATTCTCTTTCCCTGTTGTTCACGGCATCCTCGACCAGCCTGAAAACCAACTAATCATAGGTGAGTTCAAATATGTCGACTGCCACCTCATTTGATTTCAATGATATTGTTAGATGTCCTACAAAAACGTCCCGAGACTCCTACCCTCAAGCATCGCGCTATCGAGTATCTCAGAGACACCACCAAGTCGTTTGATTACACCCTAGCAGTGCTCCACAAGTTGGAGCAACAAGCCAGGGGAGAAGTTGAGAGACTCGGCGGAAACCCGATATTATCCGCGCTTTTGGACAAGCTTCATGTCGATGCATGAAACATCATGCCCTTCTTGTGTACTGTATTGTCATGGCTTACTGGCTTAGTCGATCCTCCCAAATGTCCAGATCATATGTGCCCGTTACTGCCAGTGGTAGTATGTACGATCTGAAAACTCGGTGACCTCAAATATTTCATTGCACTTTAGTTCTCAAATGTTCACAGGCTGCGGAGGATATCGTATGGCCAAAAATTAACATCGCTGTGTCATACTGCTCCAGATCCGTCAAAAGACTGTAAGCATCTACTCCAAGGAAACTGCTGTTCGATCTATGTCACATATACAAATCATACACAATGTTCATGCCCTCCCCTATCGACATGTATATATGATACACACGCATGCTTCTACTTGACGTCTATGGGATGGGTAATTGGACTGCTGTGTTCGATCACTGCGACGTCTTCTGTCTTTTCTCCGGATCCAGAGTCCTCAGTACTCCCGTTCCTTTTCCTTTCCTTCCTCTCAACCATCCATGGTCCTGCACCGCTAAGGTCGCATCCCCCTTCACCCTTACAAGTGCACGTGCCTCCCAGTATTTCTGGTAGATTCTCGGCATCTATCACATCAAGTAGAACCTCTCTATAGTTCGAACCGAGAATGTCGACCTTCTCTACAGTCTCTTTTGCCAGCCAGGGCTTAATGATTCCCCAAATAAAGGTAAACGAGGATGGCGCATTGATTATTAAAAGTTGACCCATTCTAAGACCATCAATGAATCGATGGGACTAAAATGACGCTATAGGACGCACGTTTCGGGAAAATAATCCTGTGATATCTGGAATGAGGCCTGTGCCAATGATTTCACTTGCCAAAACTGTGATAACCTGAACGAACATCAGCTGATTGGCAGCTGGAAAGCGCCAACGACGAACCCAAACCCTTTGAGGTCCACAATTACGATCGATTGGTGAATACGCTTCCCTGCAGCACGCGATGCAGCTGGAAGTACTTCACGGGTAAGGGAATCGGCATTTACAACAATAGCCTCCCAGTGCCTCTCCGGCGTGACATGCTTGTACAACTTCGGAAGGTTTAGCCCGCCAAAGAATTGGATGTTCACCGGTCGGCCTTTCTGCAAGGTAAGAATGTACCGATAACCATAGGTCAAGAACAGCATCAAGCACACCTTGTCTGTCTAAGATGGCCATCATGATTGCTGTTATTAGAATTCTCTGCAAAAGTTCTAGTGGAGAACTTGCCTTATGGAAATACATAGACCAGGACTTGAATATTTCTTCCCGCTCAGGGTACTATAGGATAACGGAAAGTTTCCTTTAACAATTTAGAAGGAAAGGAAGGACGTACATCATAAGGATCTAGTCTGGCATATAACGCGTCTATCCCGTCACCTCCGACGGTTTTCCGCCATTGTTGACAATTCTGCAACATTTTCTTTGATTCAGTCAAATTGAACTTGCGTGCGCGAAGAAACCGACTGTAATGTGCACATCATGATACGGTATTAGTCGAGTCAGGGCAGTGATGCTACATATGCCGAGAGCGGGGAAAGGGCTTACAGTAAAGTTGCGTCATCCGTCCCAACAGAGTCCCCTTCTCGAATGATTTCTTCATCAAATACTTGTTTGCGGAACACCTCCAACGTCTCCTTCTCTTCTGGCGTGAGTGACATTACTGTCATTGTACGACCGGAGTATGCCACAGATGAGGTATAAACTCGGAGACAAGTGGTATATACCAGAGAGAAGCCCGCGAGTCGTCTTCACATTACCGCATCGACAAAGCAACCGAAGTCCCAGGCTATTGATGGAAACCTGATGAAAACTCACGATGACTCAGAAGCTAAACGTTTCAATTATTGGCAGGCCTTCATATGCACACCACCATAGCCTCCGCTTGCTCTTTTCACGGGATTCTTGGTATACAAAACACCGTGACTTATGCTTTGGAGCCATCGAAAAAGTTCTGGAGGGTTTATGCCGGTGCCTCCACACGCTCTAGTCAATCGCAAACAATTCCCCATATGACCTATTCAACTTCAACGGATGTCCTTTTACACAAAAGGAGCGTCGATGACATGAAGTGACTTATATACAATGGAATGAAATGAGTGTTGTAGTCGTAAAGACTATGTCGCGTTTCGGGCAGGAACGATATATTCATAGACCAACTTCTTCGGGTCTTGGAGACTGAACTGGTGATGTCCCTTCTTAGCGCGGGCCTTGCCTGGCAGCAGCAGCTAGAATTCTAAGATTGCAGGTGGAGGCAGCGACAAGATACTTTGAAGTAGTAGTCCTCCGGGCAAGCGAGAGCACTATTGCTATGCAGAAGTTGGTCCGGAGTAGTGGCAAGGTCTACACCATACTATCCGGGGACCGTAATCGTGCCTTCAGGATAGCAACACGTACACCTACGTGGATACAGCGACAGTATGTGAAGTTGCGAAAGCCAGCTTGTAAATAGTAAATACGTAAGCAGACGTCTAGTGCTAGTAATAATACACCTTCATTTTCCTCTCAACACTCGATCTCACCTAGATTATAGCCCATCACACCCACGTGTAGCTTTATTTCAGCACACGTAGAAATCAGACCAAAGCGAAATCTAAGCACCTATATCCTGAATTTCCCTTATCACAATGTCGAAATTTGCGCCTCACCGTCGGTCAAACAACAACCCAAGAGCGAACTCCGCAACCGTTTGTCAGAAGTGCCTCGGTACAGGTGTGTGTTCTCATTTGGATGTTGTTGCAAAAGCAACTTGGACCGAACGAAATCATGCAGGACATTTCATATTTGAATGCAAGTCCACGCGTCCATACGTATCCCGTCCCTCGCGGACAGAATTACTTGAAAATCCAAAGTTACTTGCGAAGCTGAAGGCAGAGGGAAAACCTTCAGTTGAAGTGCCGGAGGAATTTAAAACAAAGTACGGTGACCGACGACCTGACTTATACGATTGAATTTGACTGACGCCCTGTTCTGTCACTTAGGAGTGGAACGGCAAACCGAATTCTAGAGTCAAAGGAGCAGGAACGACTGGCACTGGAGGAATCCAAAGGAAAATCCAAGGAGGAAGACGGCAGAGCTCGCAAGAAAGCCAGAAGGTTGTTTATAATTCACTTATTGTGTCTGCGTGGGCTGATTGTCATCTTAAACAGGTCTTCGAGATCCTCCTCAGACAATTCGGACTCGGACTCGGAATCAGATTCAGATTCAGGGTCTAGCTCTGAATCATCTGCCAGCTCTACGTCAAGTTCAGATGCCTCACGTTTGATTTCCAGAGATCGCGGCAGGAAACGACCAAAGCGGCAAGATTCATCTTCAATTCGTTCAGCATCTTCATCTCGTAGTAGATCTAGAGACTGAAAAATGATCATCCACCGACATAGTTTGTCTGTGCTTTTATTCGGAGCCTGTATTTATGTAGGGAACAAAATGTATGTAATGAAGCATGAGTGATCAATCGCAAACACCCACGAGACCAGTGACCCTCGTATTCATCAACAGTGCAACGATGAGGCTGAAATGCACACAAGATCAGCAAGTATGAGCAAGTACATATAAATACTCACCCGTAAAGCCCCAGGACCTCCGCAAAGATCAGGATGAGGATCATGGACACGAATATTCGTTGCTCGTGAACATATGCCCGCACGCACTGCAACCAGTAGTGAGATTCATGCATACATTCATAGTAGTTCAAAAGGCCCACCGAATCGCCGACGAGGCCAATAGCATAGCCCGCAGCAATGCCAGTCATTCCACAAGAAATGCCTGCTCCCAGATGAATGAAGCCTGCAGCTAGGGGATAGTCTTTCGATGGGTTCACTACGGACCAGTCAAATCACGCAAATGTCATGTAGGAGTGGATACTGACAATTTCCTGCGATGAGAACCGATACGACTAATCCATACACCGCAATGATTCCTGCCATAACCACAGGCACCAGAGACTATATTCTGCTACGTGAATTAAAAGAAACTTGTTAGAGGGCCGCACTCGCCTTCATGATCAGTTCAGGTTTGAACGTCCCCAGGCCTGCAATAGCAATTCCAGCCTTTGCCGTTCCAAACGCAGCACCAAGCGCTGTATTTGAGTGCATCAGATAACATTTGAGAACTCAGAGCCATGGCGTACTGCTGAAAATCATCTACGGAGGACTGTTATGATGAACTGAACACGGGACTCCGACTGCGATGACTTACAGCTGAAGCGACACCTGCAAAGCCGAAAAATGGCGCATATGGTGGGCAGAGTTCTGCTGGCATTTCAAGGAATGTCGTATATAGGTGGTCACTAGATGAGCGAAAAAAAAATCTGCGCAAACCAAGTACTTGGACTTGACAAAGGGCTACGCAGGCGAAGTACAAGGAGCTCGTATCACGTGACAATTCGCATGCTATTATTCAGATGATATATTCAGAGTTCAAATAGCAAGTCAATTTCAGACCGATATTTGCAAGGACTGGCTATCTACGTGGTCTTTAATGTTTTCATTAGGAATACGATCTCTATCGTATGCATGCAATGATAAGTACGAGCAAAAGTCAAGTCTAAGAAAGCAAAAGTAGGTGCCAGAGTCCAAACTACTTCTTTTTGACGGACTTGATACGAATTTGTTCATTACCAATGAAAACACCCTAAGCATGCATCAGTCTCCTCTTTCCCTACAATTTATGGTTGAAGATATGCTCACCTTGCCTTTGTATGGTTCAGGTGGACGCCATTTCCGTATCCTTGCAGCAAAAAGACCAAGCAAGTGCTTGTCCGTGCAAAAGAGTGTGATCTTCGTCGGAGAAGGCACGTCTGCCTTGATATGGGCAGGAATTGGCACGTAGACGTTATGAGAATGCCCCAGCTTCATATTGAGCCTCTGGCCATTGCCACCATTTGTCGTTCCTCTCGGGTCTTCCTCCAACGCAGCTCTGTACCCAACACCAACAAGATATATGGGAACAGTGAAACCCTCCGTCATTCCGACGACCGCGTTATTTATGAGCGTCCGTGTAAGACCCCACATTGACCGCTGCTTCTTTACCTCTGCATCTTCTACAGCTATTGTCAGCACATTTTCTTGCGGATACGCGAGCTTCATGTATGATTCCAGTGGGACAGACGTTGAGCCAAGAGGTCCCTTGACTTGGAGCGAAGTTTGAGATTGGGTGATAGTGACATTAGGTGGAATTGGGATGGGAGTTTTTCCGATATGAGATATGTGCACGCATGCGCGAGCAGATGAGCTGAAGTGTCGTAGAGTCTTGCTCAACGCCGCTTGGCGTGGTATCATGACTTCTGGTTGCAACTTGTCTTTTACATAATTTAAGTTTTGACGGCCACGGAACCTATATAATCAACTTGCTTACATTCCTTATCTGGGTATACACGTATAGGGCAAATGTGCATGATTCCCAAGCTCTGCAAGTTGTCCTATCGAGTTTTAGGCAACACACGTAGCACGCTGTGACACGCCAGAAGATGACAGCCTGTGCTTGGCTTGGATCACATGCAACGAGATAAGAGCACGGTTTATCCTGGTCTATCCCAGGAATTTTTGTCCTCTTATCTCCAATTGCAGCCAATGACAGTACGCTCTCAGCTTCATTTGAGATGACTATATATATTCGGCAGAATGTACTCCAACCCCGCGCTCCAGTTTTCTCCTTCAGATAAAATGGCCAAGTATAATGATACCGGCATTGTCACTGAGTCTATCAGTGTCAATAGTCAGGATGGCATCTCCCCCGTTCACCAAGAAGATAATATTCTCCTCCAGAAGCTTGGTTACAAGAGCCAATTTAAACGAGAATTCTCGGTATCAGGATTTCTTTTTTGCTTGCGCAGACCTGACTTTGTGACCCAGCTGCTAGAGACGATCTCATTCTCGATGGCTATCATGGCAGCATCTTGTGGAGTCACTACCGGATATTCCTATCCTTTGCTTTCAGGTCAGTGATACTCGGGGACATGATGTATGAAAGCAGGAATCTGATTGCTATCCTTAGGAGGCCATTTTGCCATGGTATGGGCATGGCCCATAGCGTGCGCATTCGTCTTGTGTGTTGCTGCCTCGATGGCAGAGCTGGCTTCTTCCATGCCGTAAGTCTTTCTGATCACCATTGAATCATGTCTATGTAATGAACGACCTCCTACGGTAGAACAAGCGCTGGGTTGTACTATTTTTCAGCGAAGATGGCTTCGAAGGAACGCTCCGCTCTTGCGTCTTGGATAACCGGATGGAGTAACATCACAGGGCAAGTAACGTTGATTTGCTCCATTGACTTCAGTTGGTTTGTGTACATTTTCGGCGTTCATTAATGACAAATTCATGCATGCCTTGTAGCACGGAACTCATCACTACAGCAATAGCAATGAGCACGGACGGCGCAGTGGTCTTGGGGTCGGGTGCAACATTTGGCATACTGATGGTCTCGTGACAAATCCACCATTTTTCTCTCTTGCTAATGAAACATCCAATCCAGGGTATCCACCTCACACAAGCGATTTTCTGCTCAGCCGGGACTCGTATTCTCGCCCGAATGACAGTTGTGACTATGGTACTCATCCGTGAGTTGAAAGAGTAGGCGCTAAGTTGGTTTGGGCTCACAGCGTACTACGCAGTAACTACATCGATTGGGGCAACTATCTCCTTACTCGTTTGCTCCGGCGATCAGAGAGCCTCGTCGATAGATGCGTGGACAAAGTTCGAGAACAATACCGGATGGAGCAATAGTAAGTGTGCCATGTCTACAAATACGTTTCTGCAACTGACAATGTTCAGATGTCTGGGCTTTCATTCTTGCTTTTACATCACCAATGTGGTCATTGACAGGCTGTGAGTAGCGTAGTATACTTCGAGAAGCACATACCTAACCATGTCTATCCAGATGACTCTGCTGCGCATATCGCTGAGGAAACCGCAGGAGCTGCACGCGCAGCACCTATTGCAATTTTAGTTGGGGTCCTAGGAACCGAGATCCTGGGCTGGCTTTATTTCATCGGTGCTTCTTATGCTACCAACTCGGTTCCAGACATCTTGCAGTCGAAATTAGCGCTTCCTCTTGGTCAAGTATTTTTGAATGTCATGGGGAAGAAAGGCGCCCTGACCCTTTGGTGCTCTATCATAGTGTTGCAGGAAAGTGCGCTTACAACCAAGATCATGCTTGGATAACTGACTCCCGGACAGTACCTTTGCGGATGCTCACAAGCTGTCGATGCCTCACGTGTCATTTTCGCGTTTTCTCGGGACAACGCTCTGCCTGGCTCGCGATGGTGGAAACGCATCAATCACACGACGGGGAGTCCAGTTAATGCTGTGTGGTTTGCGATGGTGCTCTCTGCCATTTGTGGGACATTAGTATTTTCTACAGCAGCATTTAATTCATTGGCTTCGTACGTCGAGCGATCTTCTCAAGTCATTATACTAATATCGTTGCTTTGAAGGGCGTCTGTAATAGGTTTATACATCTCATACGTGACGCCTATCTACTGTCGTGTTACCTGGGGAAAGGACAAGCTACAGCCCGGCCCATTCAATCTCGGTTGGTGGTCTTTTCCGATCGGCTGGATAGGTATCTCCTGGGTAGCATTCATGGTCGTCATGCTGCTCTTTCCATATACACAGACAGCAAACGTGCAAACCATGAGTGAGTGCTCTTTATAGTTACAAGATCTTGACTTATCACAAGATGTAGATTACTCGATAGTGATCGTCATGGCCGTCTTTATATTTGCTGGAGGATCATGGATATTCTCCGCGAGACATTGGTTCACAGGACCCGTTCCGAATATCGACTGGCAGAGCGATTCATCGTCGTACTCGGAGAAACATAACACGGAGTGAAATAGTCTGAGGATATAATTATACTAGGCTACCTGGTTATATCCGATCTTCATTCCGGACCAGCAAATAGCTTGTAGTCGTGTAATCTTATGACGGAGGGCATCGGTGACATCATATTCTCAAGATTCCTGGAAGATAAAGCTTTCACTTTGGCACGATTCGATGTGTTGTGAAACGCTCTTGAAAAATTGATTTGCATAATTGAAAGCCACGGACTGCATACATCCACTCGTCTACATTTCGAATACATTTATGTGCCACATCAGGGAGGTTGTATACAACATATACAAACCGCGGGTGAAACAAGGAACAAAGTGGAAACTACTGATATTATCCAGTGTGATTGAGGCTTGTCGCATACTTCCACATAGCTTCCATCAATATTGTCCCAACATTGACAGCGTATGTAACTAGCCAAAGCACTGTGATGGCGCAGCAGATCATGCTTTGAGAAGCAAAGCCTGCTATCAACATCGCTGGGGGGAATGCATGAGAGACCAGAGAAAGCCTTAATTGATGGAACAACTCACCAAACATGAAACAATGCAGGGACAAAGTGACGAAGAATATAGGCGTGACTATCGACAACAGGTAGGACAAGACGAAGCAGCCGCCTTGCTCAAGTTGCTGATCATATTTAGGTCAGCTGGGGTAATCGGTATGGCAAGAATAAGACTTACTTCTTGAATCCAGCAGCAATCGGCGTGCAGCCAATGCATCATGCTCAACCCAGATGTCAACATCGCGATCATGGTGAGCATGAGCAATATAAAGAGCAGACAATAGGGAACGGGTGACATGTAGTTGAAGTATGACACAGGAGAACCTGTGCTGATGAAAACACCGCTTATAGCGAGGAGGACACTCACCTTTATGAGAGCATATCAACGTCGGCTTCAGTCCGCGATGGGCATGGAGTTGGATAGCTTACCGTGGTGATAGTGCAGGCTAGGATAGAGCACAACCTGTTCCTAACGGTTTCGAAGGCTTGCTCTGATTGCAGTGACTTCCAATGATCATCAATATCTGGACATCTGAGTGCCAAAAAACAGAGTACCCTCATTAAGAGGGATGTGCAATGAAGGGCTTCAGGGAGGGATTGTTCCTCAGCAGATGCTGCATCGTCAGCAGTCACATATGACTGGAAAGGTTGGTGTAATTGAGCCATATGGCAAGGATTCTTAAGTTTTGGAAGCGCACCTGAGTGGAATATAATGAGGCCATGGCGTGAAACAGATGAGTGAAGAGAGACCGATGCTCATACTGAGAACAGGGAGATGCTGTTATAAAGAAATGACAGATAATGCAGTGATGCGATTAACCTTATGTAATATTATCTGAGGACATCATTGCACAGGAAGTTAGTAGGACTGCATGGCTTCAAGCTTGGCTTCGGAGTGACATAACTTCCTTTTGCACCTGGATCTATCATTTTTCTACTTGGAATTCCTGGCTTAGCTAATCAGATTACTTATCCCCCTTTACTTACTTTACTTGGGCCCTAGCGAGCGAGATCATGCCAACTGGACTCTGCGAGTGTATTACAGTGATGCAGTTATTTCAACTAATCTACATTCTTCTTAGTCTCTCCAGGAGTCTTTTGGCCATTGTGGGACAAGTGATGTGACTTCGGGTGAGAATTAATGTTCCTGTCATATTCATTCTAACACCCTGACACAGTATATTATTGGTGGTCCGAGTTCCTATCATGTTTGGGTCCTCCCTTCAGCTCCAAGTTCATATGGGATGTGTATCCTACTGCTAAAGTTGGGTTTAATATAAGAACTATGTTTGTATCCTTAGCATTTTCTAAGTATGCTATTTTGATATGTAGTGCTTTCTGCTCAACAGCCACTAGGCTCACAGTATTTGGCTCATAACCTTTCTCAATCACGGATGCCTTGATATAAGGTTGGCAGTTCATTCAAAACTAACAAATAATCTCACACTCATCAATATCTCTAGCTATATCTGCAAGGTCACAAAGCTTTTGAAGGTAGTCTCTGACCAAGAAGTTACCATCTTGCTTGCAGTTCAGGAATTTCTGACATTGTGCATATGGAAATTAGGTGGGAACACATAATCAAATAATTGATTGAAAAACTCTGTAAAGTGAATATTTCTTTTGAAGATCAAGGACATCCCACTCAAAGAACCTATAGGCTTAGCCTCCAAGGTATTTGCCTAGCATACAAAGGGACTGGCTAGTGGTAAGTCTAGCACAACCCTTCCATCTCTAACTTCTCTAACTCACCTTTTGAATGTGATAGCATTAGCTTCACCCTAATAAGTGAAAGAGGCTTATTCTGAATAAAGTTCTACTAATACTTTGACACATTTAATTTAGCTCTGTATTCATGATGAATGAGATGCTTCGCTCATTTGGTTTTTGGTGAGTTGCTATCATGATCTGACTCAGACTCTAATACTAAGAAGTCTATCCCAAAATCATCTTAAGGGTTATTAGTCTTGCTCAGGCAAGATTTTTAGTCTTTCCTGCTTAGTCTAGCTTCTGCCTTGTATTCTGTTGAGAAGTGGTCATTATCATCTGGTTACAACAATAAATCTGAGTCACTAGATCTCAGGTATCCAGTAGGTACTCCTATCATTACTCACTTCATGGAGCTCTTGGCCAGTAGTATGGACAATGCTTATTGGAATCTGGTACTCTCAACTGGCTTGTGTCTGAGTGATGTTTGATTCTTCCTAGAATTATGTTTTATCTTATCAGATCTTGGTCTCAGTGGGATCCCAGGGGTCCTGTAGCTTTCTTATAGGAGCATGGTGTGCTTACTGGGTGTAAGCTTTCAAAATTTCATAGCTGGTACTATAAGGTGGTAGGATGGCCCTGCTTGGAGAAGCAGATGGTGGAGGGTGAGTCAGTACAAGAAGTTTGACATCATCAGATATACTCAGGAACCATAAGATGTTTTAATATTATCAGGGGTCTTTGAGAATTGGCACATATGCAGCATTACAATGATCAAATGAATAACAGCAGTGTTACTAGCATGTATATAATGGACAATTCCTATAATATATTTCACCATCAAATACAAACTGTGAGCCTTTGTTGATGTAGCTGCAACATTATTTGCAAATAAAACAATCTACATGATAATTTTTACCTTCACAGGCAACCTAAACGAATAACTTTAATTTTCATCCATCCAAAAGCAACTGGAACACTTACCTCCCCCACTACATATACAATGAGGCTATATCTTTCACACAGCTTATGGTGAAGAGGCTTAATCACTACTAGTATGTTACACACTTTATTTAGCTTAGCAGAGGTGTCTTTTATTGACTGGCAGAGCTAGTGAATAATGAAATGTGCCTCCTGAGGCTTGCATTCACTGAGTGCAACTTAGCAAAGCTCGGAATGGAAAATCTATCTTGGTAAGCAAGAACTCACCTGTCTCTATATAATATATATACCTATATGAACAAAATCCTGCAGGGCATCCCAATACATCTGTGGATGAATTTCAGTAAGATGGAGAAGGATACTGTTAATAACGTGCTCAAGGGTTGGATCCAAAGGGCTTGGCTTCAGCTCGTGCGCTGCGCCCCTTACCCGAGTATGTGCCCCTAACTTCCGAGGGCTGTTGGACGATGTCCAAAGGTTGTCGGACGAGTCCGGAGTCCGATGTCCGATGTGTGGGAATTCCGGCGGACGTTCGGGAATGAGGGATAAGACTAATCTGGACAATGTCCAAACTAGAAAGGAAACAGCGGAGGACTACCAGAGGTAGAGGCGGAGGTGAGAAGTCTATAGGAATCGATCCTAAGACTAGCGGAGGACGACGAGAGGAGAAACTCAAGTTGGACGGAGAAGGGAATGAGCAGAGTCTAAGATAATATTCGAACTGAGGAAGTACAAAGATTCTACAGGGTTTATATACTACTGAGGACTTAACAGAGAATCAGTCTGCGCAGTCCGAAGCTATGCGAGGCTGTGGACAGAGCGTATAGAAAAGTCAAACACTAGTCTATCGGAAAATAGTAAATGAAGACGGAGATGAAGAATAGGAAAATAAGGGTGGAGATGAAACGAGGTATGGAAAATGAGTATAGTCTAACTGGAGAAGGAATGTACAAAGGGATAAGGCACGGAAGTTAGACGCGGGTCAGATCCGGACGATGGATAGAAGTCGGCCGGATCCGGAAGTCCGGAAATGATGTGTGTGGTTGGTCCGGGTCCGGAATGCGGGATATGACAGTATCCCCCCCTTAGGGCCGAGCCCACGAGGCTTCTGATCTGGAAGTCTGGACCGGACTTCTATGAATGCGGGATGATGGGCGGAGCTCGTAAAAATAGAACTGGACATATAAGTAGGCCGGGGCGCCCATGAGACGTCTAAAACTTTCCCCCTAACTCCAATTACTGTACAACATGTCTAACTCCACTTCCGGCAACTCAAAGTCCGCCCGGCAACTCCTTCAAGAGAGGCAGGCCGAAATGGCAGCCGAAATTGCGTGACTCGAGGCGGACGCTCGGAGAGAGGCGGAGGAAGAGGAATGCAAGTGCAAGGAGGTGGAAGAGGAACGGAAACGGATGGAGGAACAGAAGTGGAAGGATATCGAGGAGACTCGGAAAAGGTTGGCTGAGCGCGAGCAGGAGCATTTGGCAAAGGTTAGGATGGGCAATGCGTCAGAGGTGAGTCGGATGAAGTTTTTTGTGTTTTTCCAGAGTTTAACAACATGTTAGTCCTCCGGTCCGGCGGATCCGGAGGTCACGTGTGAGATGTGCGTACTTAGGCGCAAGATTTGCACCTGGGCAGTAGCGTCTAAGATGCCTAGGGTGAGTCTTCTGTTTTGTCCGGATCTGGATGTTTACTGATGATTTCCGAAAGATCAGGACTTGCGACCAGTGTCGCGCGTCCAAGGAGAAATGTGTCGGCAGAAATACGCCTGTCAAGGCGCCGGCCGGCAAAGGCAAAGGCAAGAAATGCACACGTCCGGAGGGATCTCCAAGCCCCAAGGGCAAAGGAAAAAGACGTCAGCGCAGTCCGGAGGACATCGACGACGATGTGGAAATAGTGTCCAATCCCCGGACGGTCATTGGGGAGGATCAAGACTGGGCGGAGTACGACGTCCAGGCCTGGGTCGCAGCCGCCAACAACATTGTGGCAGAACTGGCCCGGACCAATGGGCTGATGGAGAGGAGTGTTGCAGCGGCGGAAGGAAGCAGGGCTGTGATGGACCGGGTGAGTGAAAACATGCTCTGGTTCATGGAGGAGCAGAGGGTGTTTCAGGCTCTCTTCATGGAGAGTCTGAGGAACGGTTTCCGGATGCATGTGGAGGATGCTCCGGAGGAGGAAAATGAGGAGGAGGCGGAAAAGGAGGCTGGCGGATCCGGCGGAGACATGGAGATGGATTCTTAGGTCGTTGGATCTGAAGTCTGGATGTCGGACGCCTAAATAATGTACATATATGCATGTCCTTTTTTACTCTTTGTTAGAAGTTGGTCCCGGCTTATCCGGATATGCCGAGTGGAAATCCGATAGAAGTTCCGGCGCATTTCCGAGTTCGGTTGTGAGTATCCAAGAAGTTTCTTTGTCTGTTCCCTCGTATCTGGTCCAACGTACTAAGTATAATAGTTGGCAGTGACGTCTCCTGCGGTCAATCTTGGAGTCCAGAATTTCGGAGATTTTGTATTCCGGTTCTCCGTCGACTAATACCGGAGGCAGAGGAGGTTGGATGTGATTCGGAATGGTGTTAGGAGTTGCGGGTTCTAACTGAGAGACATGGAATACGGGGTGCACGGATCACATAGCGTCCAGAAGACGGATGGTGAAGGAGTGGGTGCTGGGACAAGCGATGATGTCGAATGGTCTGAGATTCTTTTCTGAGAGCTTTTTCGATGGTCGGGTCGAACGGAAATATTTTGCTTTGACGAAAACTTGATCTCTGACTTTGAAGTCCGGAGCGGGTTTCCGTCGAGCATCCGCGGGTCCCTGATATCGTTCTTGGGCATGGGACATTTCTTCTCGGAGGAATTGATGGAGCTCATTTAGATCTATAGCATAATCCTGGGCACGGGCGGAGGAGAGATCACGCTCCAGATGTATGGAAATGTTAGGGTGATATCCCTTATTAGCGAAGAACGGTGAAACTCCGGTAGTAGCACTAGGAGCATTGTTGTATGCGAATTCGGCTAAGGGTAACAGTTCCGACCAATTATCCTGCTGATAGTTGCAGTAGATCCGGAGGTATTG